CTTTGCAATATTTACAAATAAACTTCAATATTTTCTCTGAAATAATTTCAACATATTTACACATACATTTATAACTATTTTAGCTGCAAATATTTGTCTTTTATCCAAACAAACATGCACATTTGAACAACACTTTCTAAACAAATTCTTGATGGGTAAATGAACAAATATTTGCATCTAAAATACCGATTGTTCTAAAAAGTTCTTAACTTATAAAGTTCTCAACTTAGCAAACTCGTTCTGAAACAAGAGTCATAAGCTTTCTCTTGCCACGATACAATATTTTCATGTTCTCAATAAGCGCATTAAATCTTTTATCACCGTCTTTTGCTAGTACAAATATTTCTTTGGCTTGCAACAGGAAATCAGTAAAGTCAGTGTAGTGTTTAGGGCTGATTTGATTCAGTCTGTTATGAGCACAGTTCACGTATGCGTTGATAGCAGCTTCAACCAAAGGTTGCAGGCATGGATCATCATAGGTTAGGCGGGTGGGACCACCTGATTGCGGGTTAATCTGCGCCACACCAACAGGTGTTAGTGTACAGCGGTGCAATAGATCAGAGAGGACAGACGGACATTGTACTGCGTTCACAATCAATAATATCATATGAGCCAGTTCAGTTTTCCCCAGGGCATGAGCAAGACCACAGGCCCAGTGTACATCACCAACAGAAGGACCAGATTCATTGTTAGCTACACTGGAGTGTTTGATAGCCAGCCCCGCCAGACGAAATGCTTTGACTGGATGGTTCTTGTGGTCCATGTATCTCGCGATAGCAAACAAATGTGTGGGGGAAATTGAGCCAGCACACTCGACAATGATACGGTACGCGGTCTCAAAGGTCTTAGGTTCGGTTTCACAGAGTGTTAGCGCTGACAAGGCACACGACTGAGGATCTTTGTTTATACACTGGAATATTAGGGCTTGGATGTAAGCATGTAAGGAATCTTGTTCTGACTGACTAAGTTCGAGTTCTTGGTAAGCACACTGGGACATTGCAATTGGTGCGACACAGTTGGTCACTTCAGTGGGAGTGAAGAGGGATTGCCAGTTTTGAAGGATGGTGACAAGGACAGACTTATCTAACTGTAAGGAACACGCTAATAACCATTGGATAATATCCCGGCGTTTACAGTTTGTTTTGTTGAGTGTTGAGGTCAAAATATGTAAACCAAGATCTAAGGCGCTTTCACAGATATCACGATCTTCATCACATTTCAGTTTTAAAGTATCTTGAGCCAGACGGAATAAATAAGATGCATTGTGAATGTGTTTCTTGATCAGAACTAACAGACTTTGTAGTTTATCTTTGTCATCCTTGCATGATTTAATCATACAAGCAGCCAGTTCACATTGTTGTGCTTCCAAATGTGCAAATGTATGCCATTTTGTCTCGCTTGGACGCTCATTTCTCACGAGGTCACTTTGTAATGCACTCATTCCAATCTGGAATGCAAGTTCTCTGTCCTCGTGGATCAAAACGTTAAATAAATACCGCGCGAATGTTTGAAGTGGTACACTGTTCTTATCTACACATAGACCACTACCGTCAGACGATTTCATTTCTAGGATTTTACACGCTTGTTCATGTATAATGTTCAATAAATTATTGTCTAGTTTCAACATGGTTAACTGCGCAATGAGTTGTTCTTCCTCGTTACTTGATTTCTGTTGACCAAAAGATGACTTGGGCATACGGCGATGTTGACTCAGCCCGATTAGTGCAACATGTAAAGCTAAGTTTATGTAAGGTTTATCTGTCGTATCTTCGTCGGTAGCTTCCGTCAAGGTATCGTATAGTGTCGGAATAGGTTCGAGAACATTTCCAATCCAGCCCGAAGTAGCGACGGACGTTGTAAAATCTTCTTCGCGTATTTTACGTAATGTTTCATCTTGTTTTTGCTTCATTCCATTCGCGACAGCCACAGCCAAACGTAGAGCCTCTGTTTGGAAACCGTGAGTTTTTAATGCATCAATTCTTGCTGCTGATATACAGAGATCCTCTGAAAGATTGAGAAAAACAATTAGGTACCGTTAAATACAGTTGAATACACATAGTCATGGATCCATTCGAATTCAATAGTATTCAATCAGTAATTTAATATTTTGGGATAATCTTGGTCGCCATAACAATACATTTAGCAAAAACGCACAAGCGGAAAAGACGCGTTTTTTTAAAGGCAAAAAGCCAAATTTTTACCTTGGGTTATATTCGTGAATATTCAGTCAAACCGCAAAATTTAAAAAATGGCTATACAATATCTGAATCGCTTTTAATATTTTTCATCTACAATTTGAGACTGCGATCACGAAAACCATATCAAGTGTAAATTCTGCCTTTAATAATTAATTGACTAAGTTTTTGGAAAGCAGGAACGCTGCCCAGACACAATCCAAAATTAAAAATTATAAAGAAATAAAGATGGAAAGGGAATTTGATGCTTACCGAACCAAACTAAATGTTGACCATCAGATTTCAATATTCTCTGAAGCACTTTACTATTCCAGTCGAGATCACAAGCAGATATTGCACGCGAGAACACGGTTTGTTTTCCAGAATTTTCACAAGCTTCATCTTCAATAGGGCAAACTTCGAGATCACTCCACTGTTGTAGTTGTTCCTTCAAGGATTGTTTCTCGTGAGATTCACAGTTTGGATTCAACGCAATACACATCCAGAGCGCGCCAAGATGACCCCAGAGTTGGCGACATTTGTCAGTCATCGCGACATTTTGCTGAAGTCTTGGATCAGCCAGAAATTGCTCAGTGATCAAAGTCAACATTCTAGGACCATTACAATCCTGAACACGCAATAATTCTCGCACCTAAGAATGAAAAATATCAAGGTTTAGTCAAGATGATAAATATACAGTTTAAAAACGAGGAACTTTATTTAATTAATTAGACTTAAAATGTTTAAAATAATTGTTTAGAATAAGAGACACAAAAAGGTGGTAACAGCTTGAGTTTGTTTTTATATAGCGGTATCTTTTATTGCTTCGTCTTTTCAGTCAGAGGAAAGTGTCTTTTCGCAAAAAAACATTTGAAATATAAGTTTTGACACTATTTGTGTCAGCACAACACTGTGTTTGAGATTCTCACTTTCTAGAATTGTTCTAATTTTTAATAGGTCGTCTTCTGTTCGCACTTTTAGCAATTTATTTTGGATAGTACTTTATTCTCGTTTTAGAAAACAACAGGCTTTAGCACACAAAAAGCTCTTTACTTTTTTACGTAAAATCCTTTTCAAAATACTGAAAATTGCTACTTTGAAAGATTGGAAAAGAACTATTTAATTGGAACATTTTATATCCTAATGAGATCTATACCTTAGCAAACATGCTATGTAGTTGTTTTCCATTATTTGTGCAGGTTCCTTGAGACAGATAAGCTTTGACTTGTTCTTGTACTTGTTCAGCGTCCAAATGCCATCTATTGTCGTCTTCAACGGCCCCTCCAGCGGTAGGATCAGGTGCTCCTTGGAGAAGATTGATTTCTGACTTTGCATGCAAGATCTCGTCAGCCAAGCGTTGTGCCGTAGGTAGCACTTCAGTATGGTGAGCCGTGATCAAGTATTGAACAAGTTTTTGAAGTTGATTTCGGTTCATTTTGAGCAATGTTTCTGATATTGGTACTCTGAGGGTCACTGCATTGGGATAACGGATCCGATAAAGAGACAGAGCTACCACATGAGAACACCATAAAATGTCCTTGCTTCCACAACTGCACGACACACAAGTTATTTTACATCGATCAAAATTCACAGAAACTTTGAAATTCTCGCCTTCATCTTGAACACAGCCACTAAGATGAAAACCTAAACAGAACCATTTCATTAGACATTGAACTTTTCATGCAACAACTAAAACACAAAGATGAAACTCGACATTGAACTTTTCATGCAACAACTAAAACACAAAGATGAAACTCGAAACGAAATCATTAGTTTAGAAATGTATAGAAATTTTTAATCTTCTCACGAAGCAAGCAGCAGTGATTAAAGAGTAAATGAGTCGTGGCTACCGTAGGTAGCAGTGTTTTTTATTTTCCTTGAGTACAAAGCCATGGCTCTAACTGCTTCATAAATTGCTAAAATGGCTTAAACGTTTTCAATAAAAACGCATTAGATAATCCTCAAATTGAAAGGGAAAAGACATACTTAAGAATATATTGAATTAAACGCGCAAAATCAAAGAGAAGCGAAACTAAAAAATTCACAGGGCTGAGCAGTTAAAAACATAGCTCGAAGTTTTGAGTAATTTCCGTACTTTCACATTAGTTCATTTATAATTGTGGCATTGCCTACCATCACGAGTTTAAAAATACTTTATTTAAAAATACGTTATTTAAAAAGACCAACACTGGATTAATAACATAGCCAAGGGGGTATTTTAACTCAACTATATGAATATACTGGCTAGGAGATCATTTGTAAATGCAAAATGGCAATACACTTTAATCGTCTAGTTTTGTTAAAAATCATCAACTTGTTTTACCGTGTTGTAATTTTTTTAATACTTTTTGTATTTAGGGAGTTTTGGCTGTAAAATAAAGCGAAGAAATAAAAAATCTTGTCAAAGGCGGGTTGGGGAAGTTTGATAATAACTCGGCACCGCAATGTAGTTGCTCCTGCAAAGATAGTAATAAAGCATGCAAATGACTGACTGGCGCCAGGCTGGCGGCTGAGACACGGTGTCTCGAGCTCCCCTCCAGAGATGAAAACGTCATAGTGATATTGTTTATATTATCATGCTTGCTTTGACTGTTTCATATCTCATCTCCAAGTAAAATAATTGCACACCTGACACAATATTGACCAAAAATATCACGAAAAATTGAAATTCAACTCTACTTCTTAGGAAATAGAAGAAAGCTAGAAATCTCACTCGGTTTCGTAGTACTCGAGTTAGAGGAAACAGGTTTAAGTAAATAACCCCCCTGAAACTCACGATGTCTCTGGTTTCACAACATACACCGGGATTTTATTTGAACTAAAAGAAACTCAAACTAAATATTATTGAAACTGCCGAAATTTTATATTAAAACTCAAAACCAGATTAAAATAATGCTATGTAGGTGTATGTTTAGTTGGAGGCACTTGAATCTCAGAGGATCTCATTAGCATAGAGCACAAAGCCGCAGACACTGTGGCGCTAGCACTCCGTTGGGAGGAAAAACTTATATTCACAAATATGACATGCCTTTATCTATGCAAACATCGCTGTAAAAATATTGTAAAATAACACGAAATTACTCAAAACTTTGAACGTTTCCCTAGCGCATAATACAAAACCCGAGAAATAATTCTTAACTAACTTTATAAATTCAACCTGGCAATTTAAAAAGTTATACTAACAATAAAAGAACTTTATAAACTTACCAACTTGTAGAATATTATTGACAGCGCGTTTCTCGAGTAATTTCATTCCTTGATGAAATGGCATTTTCTGATGTTGTATAGCTGAGGTAGAATACATACGAATTTCTTGCTCATCACAAGGAAATGACCAGTATATTACTCGAAGCTGGACCGGCTCGGGAATACGAGTAAATGTCTCCTCTATTTCTTGAAACGAAATTTTGCTAGCTACTGCTTTAGCACAGCAATCTAATAATGATAATGGTTCTTGTTGTTTCTTCATGGTTTTAAAACTCTTTATATTTTCTTCACAATCACTCAATTGAGCGGCAGTCCTCTTTACACCACGCGTCATTTCGACTAACTGATGCTCTCATATATTTACTTGCTAATATAAACATACATGTTACGCGCACGCGCAGACTCCTGTGGCTCCCCGCTGGCTCAAGAGCAATTAGCCAGCTAGCTCGCCTCTCTGTCTGGGACTCCGTACTAAAAATAATCTAGCGTAGAAGCCAACATAAACTCCGGTCTTTGATCGACTACAAAACATTCACTACAAATGTTTGATGAGAGCAAAATGTCAAGACAGGTAGCCGAGTGTTGTAGCTGAGAAATTATTAATAAATCTTTGAAAAGACCTCGTGAATGTGTTTGTCAACATTAAGCTAACAGACTGGTGGCTATATTTTTTACTAAACAATACATACATCTCCTGCTCAATGAAGGGCTAAACAAGTCACTAAAGATCGATCATAGCATATAAAGAATTGAATATACGCCTTCTTTTTCCTTGAAATTTTTTATCCGCGATCAAGTATTGTTCAAAATTGTCCAAAACTTTATAAGCCGCAGACTTGGGCGCACGAGGCACGTGTCAGGAACATCTAATTAAATTACAGCAATGTTTATCACGTGACAAACTGAGGGTGGCTTGGACGGTATTTTAGGAGAGAGAAACGATGAAGCTGGAAATAAATTTATCAGTGAAAAATATCGCGAACATTCGAATTGTAGTTATCGAAGTGCGATGTTGTGTTGATATAAATAGCCGAGCTACTAGGAGGGCAAGCATGCAGGCGCCCAGTAAAGCAGTTATTTAATTATTCCATTTAAGACACTCCGGGAGAGAGGCGACGAGATGGCGCCGGGTTACAACCTTTCACACTAAGCATTAGAAATAACGCATTCACAACGCAGGGCAAAGGCCACACCACCTTCTAACACAGTCTAAGCAGATCTCCTGTCGTTTTTCAACCACATATATCGTATATTAATTCATTTACTCTGTGTTTAAATATCTCAAGCAATCACTCGCTTGTTAGGAGGCCCATAGCTCTCAGACATTCAGTCTCCATCTCTCTTAACCCAATGACAAGGCGTCAAAAATTAATCTCTCATATTTTCCGTTTTCGTATTACCGTATATATTTTATCCTGGGATTATTGCGATATTCGCTTTGCAGATTTATAAAAGTTATTTTATCAAAATATATCTCTTGTGTCCTGCCGATGGGAGAAAAACGCCTGTAGAAAACTTGTATAAATGTGCTCGTCGGTAGTCCAAACAATGAGATTTGATAAGTCAACACCTTGCAAACATAGCAGATGCCTCAAGGAAAACTACATGATAACCGAAACATACATTTCATCAAATGTTTCTCTTGAACTTCAAATCTGAAAAGTGTTATACCAATGCCTGGCTAATGCAATGGGCGAAATTTCTTGTCAAACACATTAGATGTTTGGGATCAGCTTCTACTGCTCTAGATTAGACCACAAGCATACTGATATTTGCTTTGTTATGCTAGCTAAGTTAAAACGTCGCGAGAAAACGATTTGGAATTTGTCGGTTCTTCCCGTTTGACTAATTGACATCGCAGCTCGCGGTGATATTTATACAGGTCAACTGACTTTAATGTGGGTAGTGAGCAAACCGTGCTGGGGACTATGAATACATGTTGTGATAGCTACAATCCTTTCTTATTTTATAACACCTCATCTCTCATGTTTTATCATATTGATATTGGGTACCTGTCGGCTGTCGAGTTTAACTGAAAATCTTCAGATTCACAAAAGATCTTCTGGCTCACAACTGATTACACAATAGAACATCTTCATCTTGAAAATGTACATTGTTCTACTGTACAACACGTCAATACTATACACCGTGCCCAGTGTTTAAAACGTTTCTCTGTTTTGACATCTAAAAATACGAGCTTGTTCATGATCGTTCATTACATATATAGGCCTTACTTGTTAATACAATATACTGAAATGAATGCATTTTGCTGACTAACAAATCGACTACACCAGATCTGAGTATGAGCACTAGAGGCTGAATAGAGCACAGTAGAGAAAATAAAGTTTAGATGAAGGTGGAACCGTGGTGGAACATATCCGTCTGTATTCTCTCCTTTGCTCAAAGCCCGACTGTGCTCTTAATGTTATAAAAATCAATAGCATTTTTTTTATATCTACGACTATGAGCCTAGTGTTTAGGTTGGGACTATAGTATCCTTCCTATAGTATACTCATAACTCATCTCTATAAAATAGAGTAGAAGACGAAACAGACTCGAAACAAGTTCCATTTTGAAACTCAACAGATTTGAGGAAAACAAGAGAATTACAAATTCGCCATTGTGTTTATGTCATGAAGAGTCTATACCGCACAATCACTTGTATTCGTGATCAGTCAACACTCTTTTCCAAGACGCCGGATGATCCAGGCTGATGGATCGAATTCATTACCAAATAAATACCCATGAAGACCATGAACGTGGTCAGCACACGAAACTATCAGTACATTCGTTGCCATGCAAACCTACAAGAAACTTATTAGATTAAGTTCTGTTTTGTATAACTGTCATGCTTGAAATATTAGCACATTTCAGTGGGATGTACTCATTTTTATATTGTTTTATTCGATTTTATTCAGGACTCATTAAATTGAACAAAATTGCAACATGCTGAAAAATGAGCAAAGGTAATCCAGACTAACAATTAAAAGGTTTAACCTAAAATACAATGAATGAAAAGAAACGTGTTTTAAATTTAGCCGGCGTGCAACATTGCAGCAGGTTGAATGTGTTTCAGTGATTATGTTGTTTGTTTAACGTAGGGTACCAAAAACGTGAGCCAGATCATTGGAACAAAGACACATTTAGAACAAGAAAAATAAAGATTTATTTGTAACTTGTTGAAATTACAAAGAAGTCTTATAAACAGCATGACGTCAGTGTACTGACACACTTCCGACAAAACGTTATGTGTGACCTGTGTAGTAAACATCATTATCTTTTGTATTCAACATTAATAATATTTCTTAAATGCATGGAACTTAGAAAATGCTACAGATAAGCATCGTACCACATAACTGAGTGTTTAATTATAAAGAATATGTAACACTATAGAACGTTTATAATTGTAATACTAATAGTCTTCATCACTGCCACACTAACTGCTCGCTATTAAATATATTTAATTTCTGAAATTGAAAGCACGGCATTCCACCGTTTGACACTGTATACATACATTTACAGTACAATTTCATTATGTGAATAACATCCTACTCTCTCGTTAAGCTTACATCACTCACCCTTGCATTCTGGCAAATAAATAGTCGTTATATGTACATGACGTCATTTTGTTGAACTTTTAGAAGGATATAGGAAACCTCTTGAAAGTGAAGCATATACCAAAACCTTGTCATGAATATTTCCGACATGACTGAGAATTTTTCATCTCAAGTTGAACCGCCGTTCCCTCGTCGCAGCATTACGTTATTAGAGAGTTTAAGCTTCGCGTTATACGTCAAACGGCAAACGCCAGGCAAAGAAAATTTTTACGGTATCAGGCAATAAAGAGTAAATGAACTTCCTGTTTTAAAACTGCAATGCATGATTATTCTTTCAACACAAGAAAGAAAATATGAAACGAAAACGTTCAACGAAACTTTTGCCAAGAAAATTCGAACCTGCCGTTTGCCGTTCCCGGAAACGTGAAGCTTAAACTCCCTATATTGAGAAGATAGCCAACTACACATTAACTGGGTCGCCGGATGAAAAAGGTACGATTGGAATTTGGGAAAGCTAAGCGGTTGGAAAAGTTTAGTCCAATTGCAGTACATCTCGCCCAAATGTACGAAACCTAAAGACTCGAGCATTTTAAAACATCTCCCAAGTCAAAAAGTTTAATTCTGAACTGTTTCTAGATCAAAATTCGATGAAAATCTTGGCCGTAGTCCGCACTACAAAAAAACGGTTCCAATACACCGTCGTAACTGGGCTTGTGACTCGACCTAGTCTCCACCCTGCTCCCCCTCCGTAATCTGTAGTCCATACTGGCTATCTTAAAGTCGCTAATTATTAAGTGAATGGGGTTGTTGGTGAGTTTTATCCCACAACAGGCAATGTTTCTTCGTGATCACCTCTGAAAATCGCTATTCAACTAATTTCATTGTGTCGATCGGGATTTGAAGTAAAATAGAAAACACCAGGAGCAGCTCAAACAAATGAAACAATCGACTTTTTTCATCAATGAACATTATGTTTGTTCCTACCAGTTCATGTTAAATAATATATCAAAATACAATCTTTTGTTGCAAATTGGGACAATTTATGCAGTGACAAACTCGTAATTAACACTTGAAACAGTCGTTATTGCTTGGATCGAAATTTATGTCTATGTTTGTGGTGGCAATAATAAGGTAAAACAACTTTACGAGTGTTACGAATAGTAAAGGCCGTTTTATACGCCACACAACTTTTGTCCAAAACTGTCGCATGCAACTTACTTTCAATTTGAGTTGCTCTGTGTAACTCAAGTACACAACTCGACAACGTATAGGATAATTATTATTGAGGCATATTGAATCAAATGAATTGCTATATTAAATTGAATTTATATTCAAATAAGTCATATGCAAGTGAAATCACAATACAATATTCTGTACTGTACTATTTATCTCTTTGAGTCGTAAAAAGCCGACCAAAACGCGAGTTGGTCTGACAATGACTCGTGATATTGTCAAATGTTCAAATGTGCAACGCCTTGTATGCTTTGCCAGCTAAGTTTATAAAGGGTGATTTTTCCGATAATGATTTTGAAATAATTTGTTATGGTTCTAAACTGACATTACAGTTGAATCCTATCTCTTGTTTTTTTTCTCAAATATTGAGTTTTAACACTTATTCGGCATCAGTTGTTTCATAATTTCTCAACAGATGACATTTCCTTCGGAAGATGTTTCTTTCTGTGGTTTTAATATGTTGTTTCCTAGCAAACAATGTAAAATACTTACGATCTACGTCACACACAGCTGGATCACAATCAGCATCCTTTTTTTTCACCTAAAGACTTTTTATGAATCTCCTACGTTTTTGAAGTACAATCAGTGGGCAGGGCAGTGTTTAGTGTTATTTTTTCAGCCATATATCCTCAATTTGTAAACAGGTTACAGTCATGTTGGGGAGGAGTATTGAGTTTTCCTGGCGTGTGCGTGTTCCAAAGTTTGTGTAGTTTTAGTTGTCCCCGGACAAACAACGTAATGACGTAACATTTACATCAAAAACAGCCAGAACACACCAGGCATTCCTTCCATCTCTGGTGCTCTATTTCCTCAATCATGCATTTCCTCAGTTTGTCCAGTGGGCAGGGCAATACGTACTACAATGTTATGAATAAATAGTTTTCAAGTTGTAAAGATGAGTGTACCACATGACAGTATATTGTGCGCACTTCAGTGTTATGAAAAAGAACCAGATGCTTCCTAGCAACGCCCATTTTATACACCGAAAGAGAGTTTAATAAGCTCTGTTACTCGGTTAATATTGTACTATTATTGACCATTGCTGATGTATGTATGTCTACAGATTTAGGTAAAGATGAGTGTACCACATGACAGTATATTGTGCGCACTTCAGTGTTATGAAAAAGAACCAATGCTTCCTAGCAACGCCCATTTTATACACCGAAAGAGAGTTTATAAGCTCTGTTATTATTGACCGTCACTGATGTATGTAAATGAAAATACCACTCGGAGTGTACCACACGACAGTATATAGTGCGTACTTCAGTGTCATTATTAATCGAAATAGTTTTGAAGTTCATGCTTGCTGGCATTCCCCTGGTATGCACTGAGTGAGTGAGAGAGTTTATATACTCGGTTAGTATTGACCATTACTGATCTATATCATGTCTGCAGATTTAAGTAAGGAAGAACCACGCCACAGGACAGTGTATAGTGCGTACTTCAGTGTCATTATTAATCGAAATAGTTTTGAAGTTCATGCATGCTTGCTGGCACCGCCCATGTTATACACTGAGTGAGAGAGTTTATATACTCGGTTAGTATTGACCATTACTGATCTATATCATGTCTGCAGATTTAAGTGAGGAAGAACCATGCCACATGCAGGACAGTATATTGTGCGCACTTCAGTGTTATGAAAAAGAACCAATGCTTCCTAGCAACGCCCATTGTATACACCGAAAGAGAGTTTATAAGCTCTGTTATTATTGACCGTCACTGATGTATGTAAATGAAAATACCACTCGGAGTGTACCACACGACAGTATATAGTGCGTACTTCAGTGTCATTATTAATCGAAATAGTTTTGAAGTTCATGCTTGCTGGCATTCCCATGTTATGCACTGACTGAGTGAGAGAGTTTATACTCGGTTAATATTGACCATTACTGATCTATATCATGTCTGCAGATTTAAGTGAGGAAGAACCAATGCTTCCTAGCAACGCCCATTTTATACGCCGAAAGAGAGTTTATATTAAAAAGCTCGGTTATTTTTGACCGATGTATGTATATATGTCTGCAGATTTGAGTAAAAATGACCCATGCCATTCTGAGTGTACCACTGGACAGTATTTAGGTCGTACGTCAGACAGTGTTATGAATAAAAACCATGAACCGAAAGAGAATTTATATAAGCTCGGTTATTGTTGACAATTACTATGTATGTATGTCTAAAAGATTTAAGAGATGACCCATGCCATTCTGAGTGTACCACAGAACAGTGAATAGTACGTACTTCAGTGTCAAACCAATGCTTCCAAGCAACGCCTATTTTGTACACCGAAAGAGAGTTTATAAGCTCGGTATTCACTATTACTGATGTATGTATCGAGGTATGTATGTCTGTAGATTTAAGTGAAGATAACCCACACCATTTTGAACCACAGGGCAGTATATAGTGCGTACTTGCACTACCCATCTCTGCAGATGATTTAACAGAAGATAACGACAAACTAAGTGTCTGAACTTAGAATCACGTAGAAAGAGCAGGTGCAGACGTTTAAACATAATAATTATAGTTATATATATGAATAATAATTATAGTTGATATATGAATTATCTATAGTACTGCAATCACTGTTCCAAAACCCAATCTTCATGCAGGTTGGAAACCACATTCATTTGATATCTTCATTCATACTGGATAGCTCTATAACTAGTATAAGTTTGTGCTATCCATTTCTTCAGTTTTATGAGCTTCATCAGTTTTATGAATGACCCTTGACCTTGTTAAGGGTCATTCATAAAATTGATCATGGAAAGAGAAACGTTTTTCTTCCTTTTTTCAGTATATACTGACCTCGTGTATAACCTTGTTAAAAACTAGAGGGTAGAGACTGTATGCCTGCCTACCTGCCTGCCTGCAGCCTCAACCTGAATTGTCATTAATTTGGTGCAGGTATATTAGCAGGGCAGAATAAACTGTGTAATTAGCACATTGAATGGGATAATGACGCATCAAATCAAGACAAATTCTCATCCAATTGTGATCCAAATTTAAACAAAATTTAATCAATTTGTCCTTGGGTAATGTCCATTGGTCCCACAAATTTTCGCATTAATATGTTTGATGTTTTGTAAGTTATAGTGCTGACAAACACAGACAAACAAACACGGATGAAAACCTTCTGGCTTTAACACTCGTGTTCAGTAGTCGAGCGAGTGTTTTCTGTTTTTTCCTTCGCTTTTGTTTATTTTCATTCCCTTACACAATAATTTCACCGTCTTCAATACTGGTTACATATTAACAACTTTTATTTGCATTTATAGTTACCAGATATTATACAACATGAGAACTGCGTCAAACAGTCGAGTGAGCTAGGGTATGTTATTTACTTATTTTCCATTGGAAAAAGAAATTCAATACTGGTTACATATTAACAACTTGGATTGCATTTATAGTTACTAGATCTTATGCAACATGAGAACTGCGTCAAACAGTCGAGTAAGGGCATGTTATTTACTTATTTTCCTTTGGAAAAAGAAATTCAATATTGGTTACATAACAACCTGAATTGCATTTACAGCTACCAGATCTTACACAACATAAGAACTGCGTCAAACAGTCGAGTGAGGGCATGTTATTTACTGACTTTCCATTGGAAAAAGAAATCGGAAATATTGTTCGTCAACACTGTTTAACAAATAGGCCATTAACGGTATTTTTAGACAATACAGCCTAAATTGACCTTTAGTCACTGTATATCGAAGGCCAGAAGGGCTTATTAGATATAAGAAGTCGGGATGTTGTTTGTAAACTAGTTCATTAGAGATATTTTTAGTACATCCAGTCTAAACTGACTTAAATCCAGCTTTCCTGGTCAGACACAGTGTCTCCAATCAAGACATTTTATTATTTTTCATCACCAGAGGGCAAAAAGTCTACGTCTTATATATTCTTTGTTCCTCTTTCATTTTCGTATTCATTGTAACCATTCAAGAATTTCTTAGTCCGAAGTTGTGTCATGCTAAACAAAGACAAAGGCTGAATGTTGTTATTGAGAAGCCAAATTTATCATAAAACTGAGAAAGGAGTTCTTTTTATTACCCATAGCCATATGCAGAAACATGTACGCTTGGCGTACCTACCTTTTGTACATACAGCCTAAGTGACATTTTTACCGCTAAGACAAACTGTCTCCAGTCTATTTTCATCGTCAGTGGGATTTTCTCAAATGCTCTTTGTGCACTAATGGATGTGTGGGGGATGCAACAGCTTCCATGTGAAATTCTGACGTTTTCAAAATTCCTTTTTCACTTTTATCATTAATTTTATAAAAAATCTTTGTAAAATAAATTCTTCGTTTTCTGAATTTAATCATCAAGATATTTTTACTTCTATAATGACCATGCAATTATGACTCTGAATAGTAACTGCAAAATATGGTTATGATTTTCTGATATTTTTTTGAAACTCATTGACAGTAGGCTATCACTATTAGTTTGTTCCTTATCAGTAATATATTCTTGTGATTTTTATGTATGTATTTATATATACCGAAACTGGTACTTATGTTGATTAAATATTATTTATGTAAAGCGAATGCTAGACTGTATAAAATAATTAGAGAGCAAATGCCCTCCATTATAATTAAATCTTACTGTACCCATTAGACCTGTAATCTCCCTTCATGAGCAATTAACGCTGTTGGAGAGAATGTCTCTAACGTTTAAATATAGAAAACGAAATGCCAGAAATACATATAACAGAATTCTGAGGCAGAACCCAGATCCCTCGTCTTTTCTACAAATCATATTATTGCTATGATAATGAATGCAATGAAAGTTGCATTTAACATGGAAATTGAGACGCTTTATATTATAATATACATAAATTAAAAGGTATCCTTCGACAAAAACCGGCCATTCTTGCCCTCAAAAACCTGCCATTCTTGTCCTCATTCTTGGCCAACACAATTCTAATCTGTTTATATAAAGAACTATAATACATAGTTATGTCTTGCATAGCAATTAGTACAGATATATTAATGTACAACTGTATAATCATTTCACTAACATTGTATCCTTAACTAAAATGATAGGGAGAACAGTTACTGAGTCAGAACTGATATAGCTATCCTGAATAAGGAATGTTAGTTTAATTTAGTGTCTTAGAATTTGAGCTTGGATTTTAAACTTGGTCGGTTCAAGCTCGTTCACTAACTCCCCCAGTAACCAAGCCCATAAGTAAGTAAAGTCTTTAGACTTTATCATTACATGTTAGTTGTGGCCCCTAAAATTTTGTTAACATATTTAACACAAATATTTATAAATACAAATATCTCATTCAAATATCAGATATATATTTTTGGTTTGTGTCATCCGTAATATACAGTCAGTGGCTCAGTGGTTTGATTTGCGAGAATCTACCAAAAAGCACCTCACAATAACACTGTGATCTTCATAAAAACAACATAGTTTACATAACATGCATATTACTTACCAACTGCACAATACAGTAAGAAAATAGCTCCACACCCACGTTATCTGAGCTACCTAGTTACATGTTTCTTTAATTTTATATACAAATTAAAGTGTTTTCCATAACACTCTGGGTAATTCTTCTTGACGTCAATGTTTTGTTTAAAGATGTCTTAAAGATCTTTGAGAGTATCAGACGAGTCCATGTCCACCTGCTGTGGGTAACTGTAATGCTAAATGCTGAAACAGGATGTATCATACTGAGTACAGTTAAAGGCTAAAACATTGATCATTATCACAATCAAAAACATGCACAATCATATCTAAAGTGTATATAGTGGATACAATAGATGTCTAAAACAGCTATGACAAAATTCTATACAATATTGCAATATACCCAAGTCTGAGTAAGGAATTTATCAAAACGAAATATTGATAATTAGATACTTGTGCACTAGTTTAGCTAGTAATTCGTCTTTGTCACTTTGACTAAAAATACTATATCAACCATCAACAAACAGATTACCAAATTAGGCAGATTACAAATTATTTTTTGAACTAGGCAGATTACCAATGTCTGTACAAATTTCAACTCTTGTTATCGAATACTGGTTAAGAATAAATAGTCCAAATTACAAAAAGCAATTAGTAGGTAAGGCAGTACAGGTGTGCATTCAATCAAGGTATCTGGGTGTGAAATTCTCTGATTTCTTACTACATATGTGTGATTTCGAACCTTTGAGCAGTTATGAAATTCAGTCTAAAAGTGATATTATAGTAATTTAGCTAAAGCTATTAAGGATGAATTATGTAATAGATATAATACCATATGGAAAGCTCAGATTCAACAGTGCAACAAATTACGAATCTTAAGCCTTGTAAAACTAAGTTGGCATGTTGAAAGTTATTTGTCTTCGGTCAGAAATGTAAAACATCGCCAAGCGGTTACAAGGTTTAGGATATCTGCACATAGATTTCCAGTTGAAGTCGGTCGATATACTAATATTGACTATAAGTTACGCCTATGTCCAATTTGTGATTCAAATGATATAGGTGACGAATACCATTATTTTTTAAATTGTAAAAATTATAGTTAGAAAATCTCAAAGAAAATTTCCTGAAAGAGATACTGGAAATTAATAGTTGTTTTAGTTCACTAGGTAAAAACGACCTGTTTCTTTATTGTATATCCATGAATGACAAGAGTTTAACAAATTGTACAGCCAGATACATTTACGAGTTAACTAAGATTTTCTCTGACTGTACTGTTTGTAATTAAGGATTAGCTATAGTTTTATTGTTTGTATACAGCTATTTCAATTAAGGTTGTCCCCCGAGCAAAGTGGAAAAGTCGAATACGAGCGCGAAAAGCTGCTGGGAATCGCTAATAAATTCATTCATTTATTAGCGAATCCCAGCAGCCTTTCGCGCTCGTATTCGACTTTTCCGCTTTGTTCGGGGGACAACCTTAATTGAAATAGCTGTATGTATCTGTTATATTGTAATATATCCTATGTACCAGTAATGGTGTAATGGAATAAATATATTATTATTATTATTATTATTATTACCATCTTCGTTTAGTCAAGTATATGGCATTTTTCAATGAAATCAAACAGATGGCACAAGAACATTAGTTTATTCGAATCTTGACAAGGTAAAATCTGTAACCAGGAAAAATCGGCACTGAAGTCGAGGCCTCTACCACGAAAGCGAGGCTCTTTATAGCTGGAGTGAAGTGACGGGATGTTTAGTGATACTGTACTGGGTTTAGATATAAGCAACCCAGCAGCAAAAATGTTCCTACTATACCCAACCTTACATACAGCCTATACAAGCTCAAGTAGTGAAAAAAATTCTTTTAAGAGCCAATTGGGTAGGAAATACTACAACTGACTATTTTTGGCGTACTGAGAGTAAGACCCCACAAACTGGGAGTAAGATCCCACAAACTGGGAATAAGATCCCACAAACTGGGAATAAGATCCCACAAACTGGGAGTAAGATCCCACAAACTGGGAGTAAGATCCCACAAACTGAGAATAAGATCCCACAAACTGAGAATAAGATCCCACAAACTGGGAGTAAGATCCCACAAACTGGGAGTAAGATGGCACAAATTGAGAATAAGACCCCACAAACTGAGAATAAGATCCCACAAACTGGGAGTAAGATCCCACAAACTGGGAGTAAGATCCCACAAACTGAGAATAAGATTCCACAAACTGAGAATAAGATCCCACAAACTGAGAATAAGATCCCACAAACTGGGAGTAAGATCCCATGCACAAACTGGGAATAAGATCCCACAAACTGAGAATAAGATCCCACAAACTGGGAATAAGATCCCACAAACTGGGAATAAGATCCCACAAACTGGGAGTAAGATGGCACAAATTGAGAATAAGACCCCACAAACTGAGAATAAGATCCCACAAACTGGGAATAAGATCCCACAAACTGGGAATAAGATCCCACAAACTGGGAGTAAGATGGCACAAATTGAGAATAAGACCCCACAAACTGAGAATAAGATCCCACAAACTGGGAATAAGATCCCACAAACTGGGAATAAGATCCCACAAACTGGGAATAAGATCCCACAAACTGAGAATAAGATCCCACAAACTGAGAATAAGATCCCACAAACTGGGAATAAGATCCCACAAACTGGGAGTAAGATCCCACAAACTGGGAATAAGATCCCACAAACTGGGAATAAGATCCCACAAACTGGGAATAAGATCCCACAAACTGAGAATAAGATCCCACAAACTGGGAGTAAGATCCCACAAACTGGGAATAAGATCCCACAAACTGGGAATAAGATCTCACAAACTGGGAATAAGATCCCACAAACTGGGAATAAGATCCCACAAACTGGGGGACCCACAAACTGGGGATAAGCATGATATAAACTGGGAATAAGATCTCACAAACTGGGAATAAGATCCCACAAACTGGGGACCCACAAACTGGGGATAAGCATGATATTCCCAGTTTGTGGGATCTTATATTAACCAAATGAAAGCAAAGGGCTTTCAATGTTGTATGCCAGCTTTGACAACACCAAAAATGGTTATTAGTACTTTCATTTCTCGTCATAATTTTTTAATCCTATATGAAATGATGAGGGCATGAGCAGAGGGTGAGTGGCACAGCAACATGTTATGCACCAATATCAGGATCAGACTGCACGTCAACTGCTACTAGGTTTGGCCTTGGGTACTTCGTTTTTGTCGCTAATTACACAAACAAAGACGAAGAACTTTGTGTAAGCATATATCAGAATGAGCTGACATGCATTTCAACAATGTTTAGAACATACTAACTCTCTATATACAGTACAGTTCGACCAGTTAATTCTGTTTGAATTGTCATCTATTTATTTATTTATGTAAAAAGCTTCGCCTAAAAATTAACATCTGTGTAAGTACTTGTAAATACCAGGGACAAACATAAGAAAATGCAAAGAAGGAGGGGACACCACAGCATGCAGTTAACCCCAATTACTGCGGGTCTTTTCTCGCTATATTTTAAAGGCCCATGGCCATTGTGGTAGTTATCTTTACAATGGACGTAGAATGTAGGAGTGAAAAAGAAGCGAACCAAAAACAAAGAAAATTATCCAGTTCAAATTAAAATTCAGTCGGTAAACAATGAAACGAAAGGAAATAAAACATAGTAGTATTTTTGCACAAGTGAACATAACAAATCCTACAAGTTGATTGGTCAAATTTGACGTATTAAGCTGTTATATTCACCTACAGGTGAATATAACAAAACCGAAATTTTCAAAATGGCGGCTAGCCGTATTGTGGACGTTATACTGATAAAGAAATAAGCGAAATTAAAATAAATTCAGTCCCAAAAAACTCAGGCTCGGTGATTATCGGGGAATATTCACCTCGACTTCGTCTCGGCGAATATTCCCCGATAATCACCTCGCCTTCGGCGAATAATTGTTAAATAATATTTAATCGACTAATAACCTCGCCGTAAATCGTAATAACATTAAGATTAAAGTGAGATATATTACAATGCTTTAATATAATCCTTAGGAATTATTGTAATATAGCGTCAGTTCAAGTAGAAATTGGTTTATAAACTACCTATCTTGCATGGTTTATCATTGTATATATAGTGCATGGTGTATCATTACAATTGTCAATTGATCTCAGCTACAAAACAGTACTTTGCTACTAAATATGTCATTATAAATGTGTCTTTCATTGAAATAATATTTATAAACATGTCTGAATTATTAAAAGAAGGAAACGAATGATTTATTTGATAAAGTGAATAGATAAAATCAGCTCTGAGATAAATAAACTTCGAATTACTGCATCGCATAATGCTGTTCATCGCCGACCTCATTTAAGACTTTAACTATTAAAGCGTAATAATCCTGCATTCAACTGCTCGCTGTAGAACTAGTTTTGCCAAGAAAAAGGTTTGCAGTATTTACACCTGTTACCTTGACTTAGTTAAATTGACTTGCTAGCATGCAATACACTTCCATAACCCGACAGGCCGGATGGCTGTGTAAGTTAATCACCAACTTACAAAAAATTGGTCTCATCAAGTCGGTTACATATAGTTTTCCTGGAATTTTTTCATCATGCATCAGGATTCATCAGGATAACTCAATGGCCATGCATGTATTACCATTCTCAATGTGCCTGTTTCTATAGCCCCAACGACATAACGCCCTATGGAGCGTTATTAATATCCTCACGCGGGGTGGCTTATAATTTGAAATAATTCTAGTGCGTTTAAGAGGTTTACAAAGGAAACGAAGGTTACCTCATGCTGTCAGACTAACATGAGATGTGGCGCCATCTTCAAGAGGGTCAAAATCATCGCAAGACAATCTGGCTACTCCAGAATTAATAAACTAAACAAAAAAGTTGCGAGAACATCTCGTAAAAATAAGATTTGTGTTGACTCGACAGCTCAGTTGGTAGAGCGGTAACTCAATAATTATGCAGCTTTAAAATCTCGCTCGGGTCACCCGAGGTCAACATTACGTTGACGTCGAGTTGGGATTTTCAACGCAGAGTTGGGATTTTCTCGTGAATATATACAGAAAAAATATTGTACAATCATATTTGTTATCGTCTGCTTCGCATAGATTTTAATAGGCATTTAAGAGGCATTTAATACAAGTTATCAAGGGTATAATAGCCATATTTTTACATAAAGACAGCTAACAAGCACTCACAATGAAGTAATAATTACCTATTTATATTTCCATTGTTTAGTAATGAGGCTTCTACCTTGGGTGGTACTGAAAAATGCCAAGCATGTACATTGGAATGTTTTAGTAAGCTCGTTCATATTCCGGGCTTGACTAAAGTCCCCTTGATCTCGTGCAACAGACACCGTGTCTCGTAAGGTTTAAAACGTCAGGAAATAAGTACTCTCTCGGGGCAAATATTTCAGGTATTTGAAAGTGAACCTTCAGGGCACACTCTGTGCTATCAAGACCGGCGATGTATTTGACTGTGAAATACTAACGAGTTTCTCAATGATTGTTGAGACAAAACGGGTTTTGTGTTGAATTTAGTTTTATTATATATAGAACTACAAGTTCATATACTGTACATTTCAAGGAGATCAACTCCAAGAGACTCGAAAGTGTTATATTCTGTCATCGTTTTTGGTGACAAAATAACATCTTTGTCTTTGATTCAGCTCCTTGAAATTTACAGTGCAAAACATTACATGATTAACAAGACTTTTCGGGAGAAATATTGTAAACGTGCTTGTAGAAAATCGGAACATAGAGCAGCAATCAATTGCGATGGTAGGATTATATGGTAGGATTATATTAGGGAAATTCTACCACAAGACAGTGTAATTACATATTTATTTTCGCACTTCTAACTTAGCGCAGTTTGCATTGATCGAAAGGTAGACTTGGAAAAGTTCTTTCCACTAAATAACGCCATCTAACATCTTCATTCAAAGCAAGTGCCCGGTAAACAACATAATTTTTAAGCCCCGGTCAAACGAGAATGAGAGTTGATGAGAGTTGGCAGTCAGGAATTATTACGAGGATCATTTCAAGCTCTAGATTACTGAGCAAACCAAGGTTTGATGAGTCTTTGTAACTGTGTTTTAACTAGATCGCTGCCAACCTTCATGCGCGCTCATGTTACTAGTGTTATACTTTCAGATTTATTTGTTGGAATACCAGCAACATGGTCGCCGTGCATGACGTAACATCAACCTATTCCGAATGATGCCATTTTAAGAAGCATTCTTGTGGTTGGGTTTCACTAAACAGCAGATGATGATCAGACAGTAGAGTGAGAAATAATGTTAATTCTGGTCATTAAATGTCTTGTATTTGGTGGCAAATAAACAAGATGCTTGCTCCAGTTGCTCCTATGTGTGTTAACATGCTGCCCCGCGGCGCTAGAACTAAAATCCACCAAATAAGAAAGTCTCAAGGCGAAAGTTTATCAAGTCACTTACAGAACTCGCTTCGTAGATATTAAATTCGTCCCCAGTACTCACGGTAAAAAACGTTTAAGCGCGGTAGGTTGTCCTGACGATATTACAGTTACATTCAGAGATCAGTTATACAACAAGACGGTACGTGATATATCTTCCAGCAGTTTCACTGGGTCGGATAATCTTCACAACCTAGCAGGAAAATAAGAAATTTGAAGACACAGGCCTTGGGACGATCGGGGATGGGCACCTTTCGGGAGGATAATTTTGCGTAGTTGAAAAACGGTAATAAAAAAGTCTCCATCAAAGTATAAATAATATCAAAGTATATAAATTAAACAGCTATTTCAATTAAGGTTGTCCCCCGAGCAAAGCGGAAAAGTCGAATACGAGCGCGACCGAGTGCGACTTTTCCTCTTTGCTCGGGGGACAACCTTAATTGAAATAGCTGTTTACATTAGTTTATTTCATAAAACATTTTCGACAGGGTGTCCACGGGCCTTGAAAATCCTGGAAAGTCCTTGAATTGGAAAAAAAATCCAGGACTCGGGAAAGTCCTTGAAAATCTGTAGAAGTCCTTGAAAGTCCTGGAATTAGTTTCCTTAACCTCCAGCTGTGCCAACACTAGTGATTTTGATTAAAATTACTGAATAAAGTAAATTATTTACGGCAAATCCGTGCCATTTTTAAAGATTTTTTCCAGTTCCGGGTCCTTGAATTTGCTGAAAAAGGGCCTTGAAAGTCCTTCACCAAAGGGTGGACACCCTGATTATAAGCAGTGTTGTCGCTACTTGAAAACATTGCTATGTCGCTTTCGTCTAAATTTCGTTACTGTTTCCCTCCTTCCACGTCACTGTCACAATTTCGACAGAGTAGCTACGTGTCGCGAGTGTTGATATTTTCTATATGTCGCTACTTCAAGGCAATGTCACCTGGTGGAATTTACCCTAGACAGAGCCTCTGTAATGAGGGAGAAAAGGCCGAGACACACCAGACGCGATTCGACAAGGCGGCGGCGTGATTTTTCAGTTTTTGAAAGTTACATAAAACAGCCATTGAAAGGAAATTTTATGTAGACCAAATAACTCAAAATGTTATAGCGCTTCTAAATATTTGGAAAATTTAAACCAGGATCAAAGTTATCAGTCAGTGAAAATTGATAAATCGCGCCGCGTTGTCGAATCGCGTCCGGTGTGTGTCGGCCTTAAGTACTTGGGGGAGGGGAGCGTTTATTTCCAGGGTTAACTAATATTAACTTAAGGGGAACGCTACGGAATTCTACGGTACTCAAGAAATATAGTCCGTTCTATAAACAATTCCCAGGCTCGCTCGTTCCCATGCTCGCTCGTTCCAAGGCTCGTTCGTTCCCAGGCTCGCTCCTCTCCATACGAGGTTGTTTCGACGTTTCGAGCGAAGGCCTCTCGTCAGAAGGTTAGTCGCAGGA